ATGTAATAAACTTAAATTGAACATAACATTTTTAACAAATTCTCTAATAACATATGAAATATGTTAATAACATTACTTATGAAATATACAACATAACATTTTATAATAAATTAAGCAATATTAAATTGATTAACGACAAAAAAATTTGCAACTGGAAATGTGAACTACTCAGTAAAACGAAAAGCACCCAAAGAAAAAAATTTTATTCAAAAATAAAAATTTTTTCAAAACAATTTTTTTCCAGTTAATAAAATTGTTTTGAATTGTTTAAGCTACTTCGCATGCCTCAACTGCTTTTTAAAATATTTCCTTAATTATTTTTGTAAAATTGCATGCAATTGTTCAAAAAAGTTAACACCAACTCGTGAAATAAAAGTTTAAGGCCCAAACTCCAAATGGTTTTTGGTTTGACTTCTTTTTTCTGTATTCATATATTCATTATAGTCAAAAGCGTATTGTAACTTAACTTCATTACATACAAAACTTATTAATTAACAATTTACCACAAATATTAAAACGACACTACGTAGAATTGGCAGGAGCAATCACAGCAAGCAACAAGTACGCACGATATTAGCACGTTCACTAACTTTAAGCAAATGACTGCAGACGTAAGTTTCTGCGCTGATTTAGCAGTGGCCAAAACTTGGTTACAACAACCCACAGCCGAAATTAACCAACCAAAAACAAAAAAAAAGTCCAAAGGAACATTAATGCAGCAGTTTGAGCATTAAAGAGTATTGCCCAAACACAATTTAACAAATTCTCATGAATTTTCACTCTCTTAAATAAGACAACGGACAAATATTGCGAGTGTATGTGTTTAACTACAAGTATGTGTGTGTGTATTTAACACTTCATGCTGGCAGTTTGAAAAAATTTACTTGCAGTCGGCGCAATCAATGTTCAGTGTTCACCGTTTGTGTTCAGTGTTTGTGTTGTCACTAATATTAACACATTAAAGCCTTTAAGTCAGGTTATGACAAAACTTAAAAAAAGCTTTAGGCGCTCATAGTGCATGAGCAACTCAAGAGCATTGATTTGCCAATAAGCAAAACCAAAGTTTCATGGCATAAAAATACACTCAATAATTTGCACACATTTGCACGGTTCAAAAAAAAAATTGTATACGAAAAAAACATTTTTTTTATTAAATTAAAAACCATGAAGCTCATGTTTTTTTTGAACATTTTTGCAATCAACTGCATTTGTAGGGTTACTCGTTTTAGCCGAGCTAGCCGAGTTAGCAACGCAAAGCCATAAGCCATAAGCACAAGATAAAAACATGTTTGCATTTTTAATAACAAGTTAAGCTTGTGTTGCTTCTATGCTTTAACACTTTTATTTTCGAGGCTGTACGACCTTTTTGAACCCAACGTATGCACTACTATTGCATATTGTCCAGCGCTGGTATGATTTTTTGCAGATTTTTTTTAGAGTTTAGAGTGGCAGCAATTGTTATCGCTACCGATTTTCATACATGCAATTTATTTGTCAAATTAAACCATCTTAATTTTGCTCTGTTCCAACATTTATGCCTGCAATTATAGCCACTGGAATCAAAGGCAATTACAACCACTGGAGTCAAAGGCAATTACCTTAATTACACATAGCACTAGAATTTGCAACAAAACTATTGAAAAGTTTTCATACTACAGTTCCAAAGTCTATGACTGCAACAATTTCATCTAATATTTATTGTATGTTGAGCAACTCAATGTAATAAATCTGCACATGCACTTGTATCTGAAATGCAACCACTTTAACTAATTTAATAATAAGGCAAAAAGTTGATCACCGAAGTTTAGACTGTTAAGTACTTGTAGATTTCTGCTGCTTATCATGTGACACTTTAATATATCCACTTCAAAATATTTCAAAAAAAAAAAACCTCAACATTTTAAAGGAAACATCAATCAATCTTTCAAAAAAATGTGTGACTTAAACCACAAGGGCC